ATAGGAATTTTTTTTTTTTTTTTAAGCATAAAAAGTCTTCAAGTTGATCATGTTATCTCTGAAATCCCTTCGATAAAGTTGTAAACTATTCATTGTTTATAACTTAATAGATTTTAAGAACTTTTACAAAGTAGGATCAACAAATCTTTTCAAGTCTAATACAGGTTTTATTTAACTTTACTAGATCTGGAAAAAACCTATTTAAGGTTTCAGGTTTACACTTCTTGGTCCCGTACACCTTTTACTCACTATTTTTATCCATAGAAAATGCTCCAAATATTAAACTTACTTCAGATTTACACAGAGGTGTGCAGCAGTTTGTATTTCCATGGTTATGTCTTTGTATATAATCGTTTCTCAGCTCAGAAGTGCTCTAAGATTACATCTGAAGTCAGACTCGTTGACCTCCATCAGGTAATTACACAGTCAAGTTATTTAAGCTGCGGACGACCGCAGCTTAAACAACGAACAACACACCTGCAGGCGCATAAAACACAAGTGGCCCAATTCTTTTATTGCCATCGCTGTAACATATGGCAGTGGGATCACTCAGGTTGAGCGGGCACCGGTGGGAAGCAGATGAAAAACGACCTCAACAAGCGCAGATAAAGGAATATAGCAGAGAAGTCATGGGCTAATTGAAATGACAGCTCTGTAACATCATGTAAACCGTAAATTTGCCGCCATTCCTTTCATTTTTTTTAATTTCTGAGAATATATTGTTGGAATATGTTTTATATGAGCAGAGCTGCAGCAGCAGGCTTGGCCTAAGGCCCCGTCTGAGGCCTGGCTCAGCTCAGCGCGGCTTTGCTCTGGCCTCGCCGCAAAGTGCATTTCTCTCTCATGCGGCCCCCGACCTCTTGACGCATTTCCTGACCCAGGAAATAGAATTAACACCTTCGCCTGGGATTCGGGGTCGGAGAGCCTAAGACGCAGCTGTGCGTCAGCCAAGCCCGGTCCAGACCCTGTGGACTCGTTCGAGGGCGAACCAAAAATGGAAAGGAGTTAGTTGAGGTTTTCTTCGGACCTCTAGGAAAAGGACTTTTTTTGAAACTTCCTATTTTTATGTCTGAGTGAGCGATTGGTCTTTCTGCTGATGCACCTTGAGCCAAGGAGATAAGTGTTCCCGTTTTTGTTGAATTCCACATTCTTTACATTTTTCAGCTAATACTATCCTTCAGAGGACTTTCATTCACTGATGACTGTTAGACTTAGAGAGACTTTATTGTCATTTTGCACACACAGTTTATACAAAAAGAAATCTCTTTTAGTACAGCTCTCCAGACATTTCCATTTCTAAAGTGGAGCAGTGATAAAACGTAAACATGTTGAGCAAATGTAAACACAAAATTGGTATTGATTTTAACGAAACTGTTGCCGAATCTGCTGGACCTGCATCGGATGCTTCAAACCCTCTTCCCAAAGGGCAGCAGGGAGAACAGTCAATGTTGGGGGGGGGGACTGAGAATCTTCATCAGCAGATAGCCTGGGGTTTAGCTTGCAGAGTTTAGTGGAACTGATTCATTTGCACCATGTTTTTTTCTCCCACACTGTTTACATTTGATCCCTGCTGCACTTTATGGAATTGAAATGGTCATTTTCTGTCTGAAAAGATGTTCTCATCATCTGACGGTACAGCTTCACCTCACAGCACTCCTCTTCTCCAGTGACAAATGTTTGATTCAAAGGATTTTAAGCCTGAAATCCGTTCTGTATTAATGCTGAAAGTATCTAGAGGCGTATTGGTTGATTTATTAATAAACTATGGAATAGATGATCTCATTGGCTCCTAATGTGTTTGCTACCCTCAGCTGTATAGCCTAGCACTACACTGCAAAAACAACCTAGAAATAAGTCAACAGTTCTTAAATTAAGTGTTTTTACTCCTAATTTCAGCAGAAACATAAGAGGATCTGCCAATAGAATGAGTATTTTTAGTCTTAAAATAAGATAATTAGATAGTGTGCACTTGAAATAAGACAAAGCAATTGTTTTTTTCTTATTTTAAATGTAAATTGTGTTGTTCTATTGGCAAAGTGTCTCACCTACCTCCTCAATTCAAGAAAAAATGCACTTAATTTGAGCAAAAATGACTTATTTAGATTTCCATTTTTTGCAGTGTGAAAAGTAAATTGTCTTGTTCCATTGGCAAAGTTTCACACTCACCTCCTCAGTTCAAGAAAAAATTCAATTATTTTAAGAAAAAATTACTTATTGAGATTTCATTTTTTTTCCAGTGTAGCAACCTGCTAAAAGCTTTGTGCAAAACTTCAAAACAAGCTTTAATTCAAACTAACCAGGCTGAAAATGGCGTAAACACTCACATACAGGTGCTGGTCATAAAATTAGAATATCATGAAAAAGTAGATTGATTTCAGTAATTCCATTTAAAAAGTGAAACTTGTATATTATATTCATACATTACATACAAACTCATATATTTCAGATGTTTATTTTGTTTAATTTTGAGGATTACAAATGACAACAAATGAAAATCTCAAATTCATCATATCAGAAAATTAGAATATTGTGAAAAGGTTCAAAATTGATGGCCCCTGGTGCCACACTCTAATCAGCTAATTAACTCAAACCACCTGCAAAAGCCTTTAAATGGTCTTTCAGTCTAGTTCTATAGGCTACACAATCATGGGGAAGACTGCTGACTTGACAGTTGTCCAAAAGACGACCATCGACACCTTGCACAAGGAGGGCAAGACACAAAAGGTCATCGCTAAAGAGGCTGGCTGTTCACAGAGCTCAGTGTCCAAGCACATTAATAGAGAGGCGAAGGGAAGGAAAAGATGTGGTCGAAAAAAGTGTACAAGCAAGAGAGATAACCGCACCCTGGAGAGGATTGTGAAACAAAACCCCTTCAAAAATGTGGGGGAGATTCACAAAGAGTGGACTGCAGCTGGAGTGAGTGCTTCAAGAACCACCACACACAGACGTATGAAAGACATGGGTTTCTGCTGTCGCATTCCTTGTGTCAAGCCACTCTTGAACCACAGACAGCGTCAGAAGTGTCTTGCCTGGGCTAAAGAGAAACAGGACTGGACTGCTGGTGAGTGGTCCAAAGTCATGTTCTCTGATGAAAGTAAATTTTGCATTTCCTTTGGAAATCAAGGTCCCAGAGTCTGGAGGAAAAGAAGAGAGGCACTTCATCCACGTTGCTTGAAGTCCAGTGTAAAGTTTCCACAGTCAGTGATGGTTTGGGGTGCCATGTCATCTGCTGGTGTTGGTCCATTGTGTTTTCTGAGGTCCAGGGTCAACGCAGCCACATACCAGGAAGTTTTAGAGCACTTCATGCTTCCTGCAGCTGACCAACTTTTTGGAGATGCAGATTTCATTTTCCAACAGGACTTGGCACCTGCACACAGTGCCAAAGCTACCAGTACCTGGTTGAAGGACCATGGTATCCCTGTTCTTAATTGGCCAGCAAACTCTCCTGACCTTAACCCCATAGAAAATCTATGGGGTATTGTGAAGAAGAAGATGCAATACACCAGACCCAACAATTCAGAAGAGCTAAAAGCCACTATTAGAGCAACCTGGGCTATCATAACACCTGAGCAGTGCCACAGACTGATCGACTCCATGCCACGCCGCATTGCTGCAGTAATACAGGCCAAAGGAGGCCCAACTAAATACTGAGTGCTGTACATGCTCATACTTTTCATGTTCATACTTTTCAGTTGGCCAACATTTCTATAAATCCTTTGTTTTTATTGGTCTTCAGTAATATTCTAATTTTCTGATATGATGAATTTGAGATTTTCATTTGTTGTCATTTGTAATAGTCAAAATTAAACAAAATAAACATCTGAAATATATGAGTTTGTATGTAATGTATGAATATAATATACAAGTTTCACTTTTTAAATGGAATTACTGAAATCAATCTACTTTTTCATGATATTCTAATTTTATGACCAGCACCTGTATGTATCAGGAAATGGCTGCGACGGTGAGGTTTGGATGGCGGCCATTCAGCATCTCTTTTAGTTCAGAGATACCAGCTCCTCTGCCTGCTATGACTGGCTATAACTTTCCCCCTAAAGTCTCGGTGTGAACAAGTGTGACGGTTAATGAAACCAACTTTCAAAGCAAAAGAAACTTTAAAAAAGCAAAAGAACAGAAAGCAAAAGCAGAGTAAAAGTTACTCTGTCCTTTGTTATGCACCTTACTGGAGGTTATATTCCTTTAGTCTTATTAGAAAAGTAAATCTGAGGAGAGTTTAAAGTAAACCAGAGGTTGATTGTCTGTTAAATATTTTAGTGGGACCATAAATAGAAATGATGCGTCCTACAGTTCCACACTGGAGGAGCTTAATCTGTTTTGTTCATTAGTCTGAGTCTATCAGAGAAGGTGTGTTTCCACACATCCGAAGATTGGCCAGTTCCTGTCTTTAAGCACCCCATATGTTAGCATTTTAGTCACACATTGCTGGTCTCATGGGAGCTCTTTGAAGCCTACTCCTCCAGAGCAGATCATAAAACAGGCGTATTGGTAGTTTTTTACAAAGTTGCGTCCCGGAACGCTGCCTCCACCTCGCAGCCCGGGTTTGTTTACTCCCTTTGCAGCGGGACGGATATTCAGCTCTCGACATGTTTAACATTTTAAAAACATCCAACAGTTTCCTCGTTTTAATGTACGACGCAGTTGCTGCTAATCCGAAATTGCTGACTAACATTTCTGTTAGAAAGAAGGAAAAAAAAGCAAGTGGGCCTGACATCTGCTGAGTCTTTCCATTTCCCCACTTTTTAAGAGTCTGTTTGAGGCAAAAAAAAAAGCGTTTGAGTTCTGTTCTCAGCCACGTATTTATCTTTGGAGGTGTCCTGTAGGAGGAAACCTAAACAACCAAAACAGATCCAGAGTTTCATGACTGTGAAACTGATGAATTCACTTCCACAAAATGCACTTCGGTTAGTTTTCATGTGGTGTCATTTTTTTTCTTTTATTTGTCTTCAGTGTTTAACCGTCTGTTGTTTTGTCTGTCGCAGTACTTTGAGGTGCCCTTTGACTCCAACATGAACCGAACAAAGAACCGTCCCCTCGTCAGAGGACAGATCAGGTACTTATCTCTTTTTTTTTCCCCCTTCTTCTCTTTTCCTTCTTTTATTCCCTTAAAAAAAGACAGTTATGTGTTTAGATAAAAAGATTATTGGAAAGTGATTTTTAAATCAAATCCTAAATGTTGTAAGAGTTCATTTCTCAGGGTTCCTGCTAACCTGACAACAGCCAGATGCATGTCTCGCTCCGCCCAGCTCCACTCACATACATCTGGGAACCCGCTCATTGAAAGTGATTTCCCCAACCGAATTTATGGTCTGTCCAATCAGGACGCAGGGCGGGTGTGTCCTGGAGTGGAGAAGCGACCGTGAGATTCCAACAACAATGGCGGCTCGCATTGAGGAAGCAAGCGTTAGCATTGATGCTGCTATTTCTTCTGTGTTATCCAATCTATCTGATATTGTTTCATCAAAAGAACATCAGAGAACGGCTTTGAAGGCTTTTGTTGGTGGAAACGATGTTTTCGCCCTTCTCCCGACCAGATTTGGCAAGAGCTTGATCTACCAAATGGCTCCTCCTCTCACAGCGTCACGGGTTAGCTTCGGTGTGAGTGGTTGAAATAGCACGTCAATAAAGATGACAGACAAGCGGCTTATCCAATCATATGCAAGGAGTTTTGATAAGGCCCAGCCTTCAGTAAAGGCAATTCCTATGGCGGGTTCCCAGATGTATGTGAGTGGAGCTAGGCGGAGCGAGACATGCTGTTGTCAGGTTAGGTTCCTGCGGGTCCTTAAAAAATCTTGAAAGGCCTTGAATTCTTCAAAATAAAATTAAGGCCTTAATTGGTGTTAAAATGTCTTAAAACAGTCTTTTGTAGGTCTTAATTTTTAAAACATCATAAATAGGATTATTTTTGTTATGTAAATAAAACAAAGTAAACAAATTGACATTTTTTATTTTATTTGAAAAAAATAACGGCTCGCCATTATTGGTTCCGTCCCGATAGCGGAACCAATAAAAGCGTTGTTGCGGCCGGGACATTTGGGAGATGCGCCATAAACTTTTTGTCTGGAAAATATGAGCAACGTAATTGTAACGAAAATTGTCTCCAGCCAAGAGTTTTCTCCATGGCTAAAACCAGGGAACATACATGAGGCTCAGTGGATTTTGTGCAAGAAGTCATTCAAGCTCAGAACGATGGGAATTAAGGCAGTGGAGTCGCACATGTGAAGCGTGAAACACAAAGCGTCAAAATGGAGTTACGGAGAAACAGCCGGTATTTCTCAGTTTAGTTCCACCCTTGTCTCTGCAACGCCTCCACTTATCACCAAATCAAACATACTAAGAAAACGATACAAAGAAAAATAGCTGCAGAAAAGACTTAGCACTGGTTATGTTGGGGCTTTAAAACTGATTTGTTTTGTTCCCTGCTAAAACAAAGTTTGTGATTTCAATTAAATAATTGTTAAAATATATCTGTCATTTGTGTGTTTTTAGCTTTCTTCCTGTATGGGAAGCTTTTCAAAATTTGAAACATTAGTGCAGTGGTTTATGTTATAATAAACCTTTGGGTTGAGTTGTCACAAGCAGGTTTTTCTTGTGTTTCTCGTGAATTTGGTCTTAAATTTTTATTTCAAGTGGCATTAAAAAATCTTAAAAAGTCTTGAATTTAACTTGCCTTATACTGTAGGAACCATGATTTCTGTTAGTTTTATTAATAATTATGGCCTTATGCTTAATGAAACACAACTTTTATATCAAAAACAATAATGATCCAGAAGGTCTCAGTTTGTGCAGAACTACTTGGTCCGGGTTCCTTCTGCTCCGTGACTTACTGCCTGAACTCAGCGTATCTTTAAGGCAATAAACGTTTGGCTCTGCTGAGGGGTTAAGGGAGCGCAGCTTCTTTTAATATTGGCCTCCAGCAGGTCTGTATTTTTGTCTCTAAACCTCCTCTTTATAATCTATAGATGTGCTGCAGGTGCCAGGATTATTACCGAGTGTGGAACTGAGCAGCACAAAATCATTGTTATATTAAAGCACAACATGCTTATCAAGACGAGCTGTAACATGTTTAAGCCATTTATAAAGTATTCAGACTTTCTATGCATTTTGTGACAATTTTAATATCTTAAAAAGCAAATAAAATTCAAATTAAACATGGTTTCCATGGTATGGAAATGTTATTTGTTTTAGCTGGATGATTTCTCATAATCTTGTAGTATTTTGTTTATAACATGTCATCTAATGGCAATAAGACTGAAGGGGCCTTTATTTTTCCAAATGAAAATGCTGAATATTTGTATATTGAAGAGAACTGTCAGATCTATAAGCCTTTTCCTCATATATACTTTTTAACTTTTTCAACAAGGTGAGTAAATAAAAAAAAACTTGTTTAAGGGATACCTGGAACAAGTCGCAGCACCCAAAAAAGGACTTTAGACTTTAGACAGATTTTATTTGTAATTTTGTTTACACAAGTGTAAAACGAAAAGAAATTTCGTTTGGAAACAGCTCAATGGGCAATTTCATCTTTTAAAAGTTCAGCCTTGAAAAATAGTAAAAATGACTTTAAATTTACAATTCTAACTTTTTTTTAAATATATATATATATGAATAATGATAAAATACGATAAATATATTAATAAAATCTTCTGTGCCCTTTTGACTAGGGGTGTAAATCACATCTATCATGGCGATTCGATTCAGTATCGATTTCCTGACCCAACGATTCGATTATTTTCGATACGCAAGAATACACCACGATTCGATTAATCTCATTTTTTTATTTTTTACACCTTACAGGCTAAACAAAGTTTCAAGTTTGAAATAAATCAATGAAAGCTGTAATATCGTTATTCATTTTTTTTTTTTTTTTTTTTTTTTTTAGAAACAACAGCAAATAACAGAAGTAGAAAAGTTGCATCAAAAAATACTGCATAAAATCAGTGCAATGAGTGCAATGCAATACCTCGGCTCCAGACGTCCCACCCCCTCCACAGACGCTCCGCTGCTCCTCTCCCAAATTGTAGATGACCGCAAACAGTGCCTCAGATAGGAGGCCTGCTTGTTTTGTTTTTATGACCGAAATTCTGGAAAACAACTCGTAAAGTTTGACCCGCTAGAAGAGCGAGCTGCTCGAGAACGCTGGGACCCTTTTTCCACCTGGATCTCCGCTCTTTTTGGCCCTCATGTCCCTCCATCGTCGGACTAAACTCGCCCCCACTTCCTCGCCGCCTCGGCCGTATCTAGACCCACGGTGTGTAGCGCAGACCACGCTTCAATATTGAGCATAATTTAAAAATGTCTGTGTCAAGCTCACTGCAACACACTGCTGTAAGAGTATAACCAGGAAGCGGTAGGAGGGCAAAATAGGTTTAGCGCCACCGCAGCACGGGAGGGAGAATTACGTACAGAAGCAAATGGATAAAGATAGACAGGAGGAAAAAAAAAACATGAATCGATTGTCTTGCGGACGTATCGATGCATCGGATCGTCGGCTTTTGGATCGATGCATCGATACAAAACGATTATTATTTACACCCCTACCTTTGACCAGTGAGGTGGTGTTTAAAATATAGTTAAAGAAGAACAACAGGTGCATGTTTTTGAATCAGCCTCTTATTTAGGAAGTAAAAGCACTCGGTTTAAATAAAGGGTTAAAAAGAAAATGAATTAGGATGTGGCGGAGAGTAAACATGCTGCCGTCTCTTTCTAAATCCAGGTTCTAATAATTTCCCTGGTTTGAAGACTTTTTCCTTCCACTAAACTTTCCTTTTTTAAGCTTAACACTCAGTAGAAAAGCTTCTTTCGCAGTCATCTGGTGTCTTTCAGTGATGAACTAGCTGTCCTCCCAGGATGCTAAAGGCCTTAAAAAAATCTGTGATCTATTTTAGAAATGAGCTTTTGCATAAAAGTCTCATTTATTGCACCTGTATGAGTTGTCAGTGTGTAGGAGGAGAACATGCAGCAGTGCAGCGCTCCTGTTGTGACTCGGCCACCCAGGTTCTGTTTAGTGTTCTGTGGTGAATTGTGACTAAATCCTTTGATCTCAAGGTCTGGTGCTTTTGCAGGTCGAATTTCAATGACTGACGGAAACATACAGTATTTACTGACTTATTAGGTTGTTGTAATGAGAATCCTCTCATCACCCGCTCTTGTTTAGATGTCAGATAACCTCTATGGTGTCGCCTTGTGACCGTCTCCACCTGCCTGCCCCAAACAGCAGGCAAACACTAAAGAAATTCAGTGATCTGTGAACCAACTAACATTAATCAGCTGAAGGAAATCTGTCCTCTTCGTCTGGAATCTGCAGCCTTTCGTTTCACATTAGGAAGAAATGTATCCCACCAGCAGCCAGTTAGATTTACCATAAATCAGAGGTGTGAAGATTTTTCACTCGCTTCATAGCCAAGCAGATCAGAGTTGGTAAAAAATTCCTGCAGGGTAGATTTCTTTATAAGTGGTTATTTGAGCTGCTTGATGTGGCTCATTTCAAATATTTTATCTGTGTAAACAACACTGGGTTCACTCAGGCTTTAAGGTTTGTCTTAACAGGAGAAGATGTTTACATACGTGTCAGCTCTTCCTTTCCGCTTTGGTGTCACACATGCTGTGATGTGTGAAGACGGAGAGCGTATGGATGGCTGATCCTCCCATCAAACAGGCCAGTGGATCGCCACTGCTCTGTCAGATGAGCATACCCCGTCAGACCAGCATACTCAGAGTTAATACGCAGATTAAGACGTCAGATTTGCGTTTACAACTTTTATTTTTTTAACGAAAAATACACTTTAAACCACCTTAACGGGCGTGTATCCCTTTTGTCACATACGAAAAAAACAGTTTAAGGTAATTTCGCCATAAGCTTAAAAAAACATCAAAAAGTAAGTAATAGGGGTGTAAATAATAATCGTTTTGTATCGATGCATCGACACGTCCGCAAGAGAATCGATTTATGTTTTTTTTTTTCTTCCTCCGGTCTATCTTTATCCATTTGCTCCTGGGCGTAATTCTCCTCCCGTGCTGCGGTGGCGCTAAACCTATTTTGCCCTCCTACCTCGCTTCCTGGTTATACTCTTACAGCAGTGTGTTGCAGTAAGCTTGACACAGACATTTTTGAATTATGCTCAGTATTTAAGCGTGGTCTGAGCTACACGCTGTGGGTCTAGATACGGCCGAGGCGGCGAGGAAGTGGGGGCGAGTTTAGTCCGACGACGGAGGGACATGAGGGCCAAAAAGAGCGGAGAGCCAGGTGGAAAAAGGGTCCCAGCGTTCTCGAGCAGCTCGCTCTTCTAGCGGGTCAAACTTCACGAGTTGTTTTCCGGAATTTCGGTCATAAAAACAAAACAAGCCGGCCTCCTGTCTGCGGTCAGCTACAATTTGGGAGAGGAGCAGCGGAGCGTCTGTGGAGGGGGCGGGGACGTCTGGAGCCGAGGTATTGCATTGCACTCATTGCACTGATTTTCTGCAGTATTTTTGCAGTATCTTTTGATGTAACTTTTCTACTTCTGTTATGTGCTGTTGTTTCAAAAAAAAAAATGCATAACGATATTACAGCTTTCATTGATTTATTTCAAACTTGAAACTTTGTTTAGCCTGTAAGGTGTAAAATAAAATAAAAAATAAAAAACAAATTAACCGATTAATCGATGAATTGAATCGAATCGTGGTGTATTCTTGAGTATCGAAAATAATCGAATCGTTGGGTCAGGAAATCGATACTAAATCGAATCGCCATTATGGATGTGATTTACACCTCTAGTAAGTAACTAAATGTTTTATTGTACATGACTAAAGGGATACACGCCTGTTGAGGTGGTTTAAAGTTGTGGGGAATCTACAGTTCCAACCGTTGCATCTCCGAATTCTCCCGAGTGGTGCTCGACTTTACAGGAGTGAATAAAGTGAATGTGATTGGTCGTTTATCAAGGGGGCGGAATTGTTGTGGTGGAAGTTTCGCAAGCAAGTTTGGTTGTGGCCGGTGTCTTAGAAGCATCTTGCTAACCAGTTAGCATCTTAGTGCTAGCAGGTTCTCAATGGGAAATTCCATTGAGACCAAGTAGCACTAAATTGGTGACTTAGAAACGACGCTGTCAAGGAACGCTATGGACAGCGGAAACATGCAAGAGAAGGAGAGTTTAGTGTCAGAGGTCGTGGATGAGTCTCCTCCGTCATCCATTTTTTATTTAGAGGAGGAAAGCGGGGACGAAGATGTCCATCCCAGTGAACACTGGGATGTAACTCAATGGTAATGTTAATTATTCTTATTTCGTATTACAACCGTTGCGTTTATTAGCTGCGAAATGTGAATCAAGATGCTATATGACCCAAAGAATTTTATTGACAGATGACTGTTGATATATGATTGGCCGAATTTAGGTTAGATAACGAAAATCACAGGTTTTAAGACATTTTTTTGTTGTTTTTTAAATATAAATTGTCTAAATTTTGGGACAATATAATCTGATAAAGAGTATATTTATATACATGTTTAAGCCAGAATAATTTGACATTTAAGTATTATTTCCCTACCACTTTAAAGTGTGTTTTTCATAAAAAACTAAAGGGATAAAGTAAAGAGATAAACGTGTATTGACTATGCTGGTCCGACCGGTATGCTCACCTGACAAAACACACGGATTACACAGGATTAATCTGGAAAAGTCAGGATAGGAAGGAACGGGGACTGAGAGAATGTTAGGAAAAAAGAATTGGGAGAATAAGAACCTAAATCTGCTTCATGTTGCGTATGGCGGCAAATAACAAATTGGAGGTAAAAAAAAAAAAAATTGATAAAAAAAAAGATGTAAATTGAAATTAGAAAAAAACGCAATGCAGAAATAAAAAAAAACAAACAAAAAAACGTTTTCGTCAAAATAAGTTTTTTTTTCAATGTATTTACCGTATTTTTATTTTTTTCAATTTTTATTTTTTTTCCCCAAAAATATTTTCAAATTTTTTACAGTTTTTCTATTGTCAGATTATTTTTTAAATGTATGTTTATCAATTTGCATTCTTTTCATCTTCACTTTAAGCCAAATAAAAACACTAACTCCTGTAAATATTGACCAATACAATGCTGTAGCCACCTGCCCTACGGACCAATAGAAATACGCCTCACTCCACAGGAAGGCCCGCCCCCTTAAAGGAAGAAAATGGGATTTGAAAAAAAAAAGAAATTTCAAAAAATAAAAATATGAAAACAAATTGAAAAAAACAAAATCTGACAAATCGCTAAAGCGATCTTTTTACGTTTAATTCTTTTTCCAAAATTTTGTTTGCCAAATGGGTTTTGTTTATTTATTAAACATGCTCTTTGCTTGCACTAACAGTGGGACTAAATTACCTAATAATTGTATAAATAACATAAATATTGATTTCTGAAGATAATTTGATCTGAACTGATCAGTCTGTAGTCCGGGTTTTATCATCTTTTCGCGTTAATGTTTATCGGCGTCCATATCTCCATCCTTTGATCCATCCATCTACTTACTGATCTATTCATTCATTTATTCATTCATTCATTTAATCGTCTTGCTCTTCATCTTCTCTTTAGGTTCAGCTTTAACAGTTGCTGCTGTCTCCTTGTTAATTTTCTCTACATGTTTATATATATTTCCTGTCTAAAGTCTTGTTTTGGGTTTGAATTGAGTTTCTGGCTTTAATTGGAGCTGAACCCGCCGGCCGCAACACTTTAAACATTTTTTTTCTAAACTGTCAGCAGCGGGCAGCAAACCTACCTCCGACCATCTTTCCAGCTCGACCCGCCCACAGGCGCGCTGTCGACAGCTCGTAGGAAGCCTGATCGGCTCCACCTCAGGCCACATGAAACGGCCGTGACACCACCGGTCACATTAATGTTCTTATCTCACTGCATGGCTGCCCGACAAAATAAAGACCCCGTTTGCCTTTTTTTCCCCTTTGCGTTTGGTCAAGAAGTTAATCTCTGCTCTCTGTAATCTGTGGAGCAGTTCGTGCTGAATTTGAACCAGACCTCACCGCCGCGGCCCCTGAGGAGGAGGAGGAGGAGGAAGTCTTCCTCATCCAGCCGTCAGCCTGAGCTGCTGTGGTTTTACCAGGTCTCCTTTTGATCTCTGGCCTTTCTTCACGTTCTGCCATCTTGCTGAGGCCGCCTTTTATCCCTGATGAGCTCTTATCAGATGGATTTCCTCCTGTGCTCTGGTTCTAAGAGGCAGCCATGCCGGCCCCTGTGGGTCTGATCATGTCGGTGCTAAATGAACGCAGCTATCCTCGTCTTATCTCGTGTTTCCACAAGCTTGCAAAACTTTATCATCCCTTAGTTAGTAGTGATAGTGATGAGCTCTTCCCTGAGCTTAAATCTTTGTAATTTCAGTAATCTTTTTTCAGCTTTTGTCTCGTCTGTGTTTATCGTTCCGTTTTAACTGATTTGTTTCATCTGTTCTTATCAGCCCACTGCATGCTGTGTCATTTGCCGTGGCCTGTGGCATTCCTGGAGTTGCTCTGCTGACGCTGGCGGTAAACCCGCTCACAGGCTTCCTGGGCGCCCTCAACATCTTTCTCTACACCTGCTGCTACACTCCGCTCAAGAGGCTCAGCATCGTCAACACCTGGGTTGGCGCGGTGGTGGGAGCCATACCTCCTGTGATGGGCTGGAGCGCTGCTACAGGGACGCTTGGGCCAGGTACCACCAGCAGACATTACGGTTTATAAGATGCCATGATTTCTTTGGACTTTGTCTGCTTTCACAGACAAATAGGCCAAAGTCTTTCTGAACAGATTAAAACCAGTTTGCCTCGTCAACCATTTTAATAAATTGATTTCGTTATGAAGAGATCGAGAGGATCCTGTTTGACACTTCCTCTGGCTTAAACTTGAAGTACTTTAATGCCGCATGAAAGTATTTGAAAGTAATTATTATAATATGTGGAAATTCAGTCTGAAAAACCAGAATGGACTGCTAAACGTTGCCTTGACTGTTTAATTTTCTTTATTTAGCTCATAGTCAGAAAAAAAGACAGATTATGATATCAATTCTGCTGCTTTAGAGCCGAGATTTCCTAACATTTGACCCCGAAACGGACTGTCGACTCTCTAAAAATACATTTCACCCTAATATTTCACTATGTTTGTGTGTGTTACTGAATTATTATCACTTTTACATATTTTTTTTAGAGAATTAAATTATTTAATTCATGGGTCTTAGACATTTTCCAGCTCAAGGACCCCCAAACTGATGGCGAGATGGAGCAGGGACCCACTAATTAGATATATTGTATGAAATAGTGTTCTATCAAACTGGTTCTATAGTAACTCTATTAGAGATGTCCCGATCCAGGTTTTTGCATTTCCGATCCGATACGGATATTGTTTTTGGACTTCCGATCCGATACCGATACTGGCCGATACCAGCCTATCCGAGCATGTATTTAAGTTTAAGTATTTAGCCTTAGTTGTAAGACTCATGTTGAAAAGGGTTTTAGTACTCTTGATAACATCTAGCCAGCTGAATTAGGTGAGATTGAATAAAACACAATGATTTGTAACAACAAACTTACCTGTTTATTAAGAGATAAACACAAACTGGACAAAATTATGAATAGCAATCTGAAATTGCACAGTGAACAGTAAAACCGTAAACAGTTAAAGGTGCAAGTATTACTGTACGTTTTAATAAAAATGCAAAACAGACAAGAGTGGAAAATAGTCTATTAACTTAGAATCAGGACTCTACTCTTGAAAAAAGACACTGCTTAAAAAAAAATCAGTGCAAATAATAGTGAACTATTACACAAAAATGCCTTATACTCCCCAATCTCCTCCACACCTAGTCTCCATCTACACATCGTGCAGGATAAAATAATCCCACACGGCTGACATTTTTCCCGCTATCTTCCAATTCACCTGTTTTAATGGTTAGGCCGGGAGACAGACCCAAAAAGACCTGTGGGTGTGTTGAGGGTGTTCTGGAAAATGCGGACCGGATTCGGAGAAAACACTGGCGCAAAATAGTGGAATGGATCGTTTCAATCGGCGAAACTGGAAAATACGGACCGGATTTTTTTTTTAAAACTGGATCGGCGGTCTGGATCGGCATTTTTACATGGTTTGCCGATACGCATTTTTTTGCCAATATCGGCGTCCGATCTGATACGTGGATCGGATCGGGACAAGCCTAAACTCTATTACATATGGAGTAATGTAACTAAAGTATTCCCTCCCTGGGATTATTAAAGTATTACTGATTCCTGGTTGACGGGACAGGTGTTGTGAATGAAACGGTGCCCAGGTTGAAAGAGCTCCTGTGTTTCGCTGAATGTGTGCATTGATGACTGAAAGACATCTTCTGCCTCCATTTATCTGTTTACTACAGTCTGTTGGATTCATGTTAATGTTTAATTAAAGACATTTCAAAAATTGCAGGGGAGAATATATATATATATAAGTCTAATCAACCAAAATGACCCCCTTGCAGTACCTCCATGGACCCCCGCGGACCCCCTGTTGAAGACCTCCATTATTGTTTTTTTATTTATTTATTTAATGGGACATTTAATAATTGTACATTTAAAATTTTAATTCTAAATTTAATACTCGAATTCTGGTTTAGAAAAATAGATAAATAAATGTTTTACCCACTTATTTAATTGGAAATTCATGTGTCTGTTTTTTGCAATGTATTTTGCTCCATATACCACAGATCACATGAAATGATGCCAGGGTTTCCACGGGTCATTAAAAATCATCAAAAGTCATTAAATTATTATTATTTTTTTAATCAAGGCCTTAATTGGCATTAAAATTCATTAAATATGTTTATTGTGGCATTTAAAATTCTTTCTTAAAAAAAAAATTTTTTATAAAAACAATTTTGTCAGACATATTATATCACAATGTATTTGCATGGAACTGCTTACGGTTGATCGCAAAGACGTATGTTCGGAAAAGAAGCTTGAGTCGGAGAAAAAGGCTAGAGAATGGGGAAGAATGCCAATTTCAACAAAAGTGGCTGGAAAAAGAGGAATTCAGGGCATGGCTGCAGCCTGTCGACGGGAAATTAATAAAATTATTTCTAAGAGCATTAAAAAGCATTAAATTAGAGTAGGCTTGTCCCGATCCGATACGTGGATCGGATCGGGACGCCGATATTGGCAAAAAAATGCGTATCGGCAAAGCATGTAAAATGCCGATCCAGACTGCCGATCCAGTTTTTTTTTTTTTAAATCCGGTCCGTATTTTCCAGTTTCGCCGATTGAAACGATCCATTCCACTATTTTGCGCCAGTGTTCCCCTGTTTTGCATTTTTATTAAAACTTACAGTAATACTTGCACCTTTAACTGTTTACGGTTTTACTGCTCACTGTGCAATTTCAGATTGCTATTCATAATTTTGTCCAGTTTGTGTTTATCTCTTAATAAACAGGTAAGTTTGTTGTTACCAAGCATTGTGTTTTATTCAATCTCACCTAATTTAGCTGGCTAGATGTTATCAAGAGTACTAAAACCCTTTTCAACATGAGTCTTACAACTAAGGCTAAATACTTTAACTTAAACTTAAATACATGCTCGGATAGGCTGGTATCGGCCAGTATCGGATCGGAAGTCCCAAAACAATATCGGTATCGGATCGGAAGTGCAAAAACCTGGATCGGGACATCTCTAAATTAGAGTTATTCATTCCTGTATAAACCTAGCCTCGTGAGACCATCCTGATCTCGCGAGCTTTCAAGATTTCACTCGCAGATCAGTCCGGAGACTCTCCGTTGGAGAAAATTTGGAGCCGTTCACCAAACGAACGTCCAATCAGCGTTGGCTTTGAGGCGGGTTGAGGTGTGACGCAACAAGAAGCACGACAGTTCAGTCTAAAGAACATGGCGGCTTCAGCCAATGAAACTAGCGTTAGCGTGGCTATCGAGCAAGTTTTATCGGAATTACAGAGTATTTCTTCACTGAAAGAAGAGCAAAACACTGCTCTGGAGGCTTTTCTCAGAGGAAAAGATGTTTTTGCTCTTCTCCCGACTGGTTTCGGCAAGAGTTTGATCTATCAATTGGCTCCTCTTCGTCGTCGCTCTGTTAGTACGTCATATGCTTAGTTGATCTGATTGGTTTATTTGGCCCGTCTATCACCAACATAGGCCAATCAGCTAACCAGTATTTTCGCCCCTTCCCAAAATTACTTCAACGGAAGGTTTCCAGATGGATATGCGGAGCAAATCCATCTGGCGGAGTCAGGTTAGTATAAACCCTGGATGCTTTAGAAGATACACGTCAAACAAGGAATAAGCTAAATGAAGAAAAATCGCCAACAACCTTAAACATAATCTGAGCTTTAATGGGATCTTTTGAGTGTTCATGAGTTAATGGCCTAGTCAAAGTCCAATTACATTGAGGTCATTTACACTTAAACTGATTCTTCCAGATGTAGTGTACAGGGGGTAAGGAGGGGCGATCAGCCTCTGGCGACCACCTCCTGATCAGGAATCGTAAGGTTAAAAGAAAATCAAACCTGTTTAAAATTCAGTCGGCCGTCGTATGGTTGTCATGGACAAATCGCTCAGTGGGCAAGCATGGAATCTTCTTCTTCCTCAGAAGAAAACACAAGCGTGGCGGATGCGAGTGAAATGGAGTTCTATCTGTAAAATCGACAGACCATAGGTGCCACGTTTGCTCAGCCACGTCTTTGTCCAAATACGTCGTCTCCTTTTCTTTTTAGGGCTTAAATTGCACAAATTGCCAATGTAGCTTGTTTCTCTAGTCAGCTTCATGTTTAACAGGAGGCATCGACACTTCCGTCTTTTTCCTCTTCTACTCGTTTGGCTTCTGGATAGACGAGTCCGAGTAGCGACATTTCACTGCAGCGCTGAGTAGGACGTGGTTTTTAGATCGAATCAGAGCGCCGGGCCGCTCAGTGTGAAAACATGAATCGTGAGCAGTGAACTTTTAAATGGTTTCATCTAGGGGTGTAAATCACATCCATCATGGCGATTCGATTCAGTATCGATTCCCTGACCCAGCGAGTCGATTATTTTCGATACTCAGAAATAAACCACAATACGTTTCGATTCGATTAATTGGTTCTATTGTTTGTTTGTTTTTTTTACACCTTACAGGCTAGACAATGTTGGAAATTTGAAATAAATCAATGAAAGCTGCAATAATGTTATGCTTTTTTTTTTCTTTTTCTTTAGAAACAACAGCAAATAACAGAAGTAGAAAAGTTGTACTCCACCTATTCCTATTAAAACCTCATTCACTGAAAAATAATAATAACCCTATGTTATAGATTCTAAAAGGCCTTGCATCAAAAAATTGTGCACAAAATTAGTGCAATGAGTGCAATGCAACACCTCAGCTGCAGAGTGTCGACGTCCCCACCCCCTCCACAGACTCTCTGCTCATTACCCGATCCGTACCGGAAGCACGATCCGTACCATCAGCTCATTTGCGCGTGCGCAAACCGAATAACTTCCGGTGGCAATATTTCCTTTTTCTTACGTTTTTATTCTTTTGTATTCTTTAGAGGCATGGGTTTCTTTTTGTATATCTTTGTATTTTCGTCAATATTGCATTTTCTAAAAATAAAAAAACAGAAATACATAAAAAAAGTTCAATCGCCTTGTGATAGTTACTTTGACTGCTCTGAGCATGCGCAAATATACATCACACAGCGTGTATATTTAAATTTGTTTAAATATTTGATTTACTCTGTACTTATCTATGCACTCCAGCAGTACTGATCCCACAATGGATTCATTTGCTACCTTTCGTGACCTGCAGTTTTTCATTGATAAGGGAACATTTCCCGAAAATTTGGATTTTTATTCCAGAAAAATGACGTCAAGCAATACAATGGATTGAATTTAAAAAGCATCCTTTTCTTCCAGAAAAGTCTTCAATATTGTCTTTACGATGTAGTTTAGTATTCTTTAATTATTTAAGGATATAAATAACGTTTTTTCAGTACCGTAATTACATTATTTTTTGGCGACCCGGAAGTTATTCTGTTCGCGCAGGCGCAAATGAGCTGATGGTACGGATCGTGCTACCGGTATAGATCGGGTAGCGACAGGCTCCTCTCCCAAATTGTAGCTGACCGCAGACAGTGCCGCAGACAGGAGGCCGGCTTGTTTTGTTTTTATGACCGAAATTGCGGAAAACAACTCGTGCAGTTTGACCCGCTAGAAGAGCGAGGTGCGCGAGAACGCTGGGACCCTTTTTCCACCTGGATCTCCGCTCTTTTTGGCCCTCATGTCCCTCCGTCGTCGGACTAAACTCGCCCCCACTTCCTCACCGCCTCGGCCATATCTAGACCCACAGCGTGTAGCACAGACCACGCTTCAATATTGAGCATAAATAAAAAATGTCTGTGTCAAGCTCACTGCAACACACTGCTGTAAGAGTATAACCAGGAAGCGCGGTAGGAGGGCACAATAGGTTTAGCGCCACCGCAGCACGGGAGGAGAATTACGTCCAGGAATAAATGGATAAAAATAGACCGGAGGAAAAAAAAACATGAATCGATACTCTTGCGGATGTATCGATGCATCGGATCGTCGGCTGTTGGATCGATGCATCAATACAAAACGATTATTATTTACACCCCTGGTTTCATCGTAGAGTAGTAGCTGAACGGTGTAAGCCCAGATTTAGCCATGAATAGTCATAATCCATCTTTTTCAGAGGAATTGGATTATTTAAAATCCTCACCATTTAATGATTGTTTTGGTTAAAGTTGGTTTGTCAAAAACATCCTTTTAAATGCAGGCTCTGCTTGTTTAAGTGGATAATAAATCTTTGCAGTCTCATCCAGCCAGCATCACTAACCTCTCCTCTTTCATCTCCTTATCTTCAGGTGCTTTGCTGCTGGGTAGTTTCCTCTACTGCTGGCAGTTCCCGCACTTCAACGCGCTCAGCTGGAACTTACGGGAAGACTACTCCCGCGGCGGCTACCGCATGATGTCCGTCACCCACCCGGCCATGTGCAAACGGGTGGCGCTGCGCCACAGCCTGGGTCTGATCGGGCTGTCCACCCTGGCGCCCGTGCTGGACGTCACCACCTGGACCTTCCCCGTCATCTCCCTGCCCATCAACCTGTACATCAGCTACCTAGCCGCCCGCTTCTACCGCAAAGGGGACCGCGACAGCGCCCGCAAGCTGTTCTTCTGCAGCCTGTGGCACCTGCCCATGCTGCTGCTGCTGGCGCTCACCTGCAAGAAATACAGCCAGGGTCCGGAGGAGACGGCATCTTTAACCCTCACACCGCCAGTGAAATAACTGGGATCCTCCTTTGAGCCTGAGTGCTCCTTCAGTTTCCTGACTCTGCTTTACAGAAAACACACCAGATTTCAATCTTTTAAATTTGTGTGCTGTAAATATATTTATTTTTAAAGGGTCCCTCACCAGTTATCTGTCTTTTATCTGACTGATCAGTTACGTTGTACTGTTTACTCCACTCTCACGGAAAGCCTCAGCTTTGGCAGCTTATGTCGTTGGACGCCATGCTGTCGTAAAGTTTCTAGAATGTGGTAAAGCAGGACTGAGGAAATGACAACGTGTTACTTGATGGTGATTTAATCTCATTTTGCTTTGAAACAAAAATGTATATGTGGTTTAAATACATAAACCTGCTTTAAGGGATCATTTATCCCCTGTGGGAGAGGAAATAAACTCATCATGATTGTAACTGTTGTCTGTCATGTTTCCATCATGCAGGCTGTAAAAATCACGCTCAAAGCGGCTCGTTAGTTAACGCTTTGCTGTTTGGATTAAAGTTTTAGCTCTAACCTGGGTGGATGTGCTTCACTTTAGGCACAAATCGCCCGCTCTATTTAGCAGGCCGCCCCGTACACCTGTCACTCAACATGTGCTCCCTTTCCAACAAGTTTTCTGGTGTTGGGTTACATTTCCATCACCAAGCACACCCTCCCCTTGTCTTGGCCCAGCAGCACCGCCACCCTCACTCTATAAAACCAGCAGGATTTAGCCAAGGCCGAGAGACACGAAACGGCTCGATGTTGTCGTAAAGTGTCTGACCGGATGCGGAGGGTGGGAGCGGAGCGAGGGAGCCAGCTGTTGCAGACGCAGACAGAATGTTGTCGGGCACCTCGGAGGCTGGAGGTGATGAGCCGCTCTGCGTTTTGCGGTGTCTCTGCATGTTTCTGCCGTGAACGTGGAGCTGCTGCAGGAGTTCAAGGACGTTTCTTTTGGGAAGCGCAATGTGGAAAGGTAAGATTTGATGTCATCATTTACTGGGGATGATTAAAAACCAGGGTTCCAATGAGACGAACCTTAAAAAAAATAATTATAATGGATTTTATTAGGATTTTAAGCCTTAGTAATGCAAATAAGTGCTTAGCTGTAAGTGATTAATGCATTTAAATTCTTTGCAGTTTGAATTCAGAAACATTTTTATATATGTGCATCGTAAAATAAAAGCTTTTGGGAAAGCAAACCTTGACAAGAACTCACTCAAATTAATTCAAATTGATCCTTAATTTTTCAAGTCGTGCCACTTTATCTACAGATTATCTGCAGGATTTAGTTCTGGACTTTAAATGAGTTGTTTTAGCTCTTTTATGCAGTGATCTAAATCAGGGGTTTCCTACAGAAGAGGATTAGGGCCACTGGAAAAAAAAAGTTAACTGATTTTAAAATTTTATTTCAGTTTACCATGGGGAAAAAAGTTAGAATTCTGACTTTAATCTCAGAATTCTGACTGAATTCTGACAATAAAAAGAGATCAAAGTCAGAATTCTGACTTTTTTTCCCATACTCTATTGAAATAAAATAAAATAAAAATCAGTTAACTTTTTTTTTTCAGTGGCCCTAATCCTCTTTTGTAGTTTCCAAATATTTTAGGCTGTAACAAAAAAATTAACATGCAACAGACAGGTGACCCCCCCTAAAAAAGATACACAGAATTACTTGTCTCTATTTCCATTTATAAATCCAAAGTGAAGTAATATTTATTTTTGAATATTTGCATGACAAATATCGAATTATTTAAAAGTACTTTTAATATTTGGTCATATCAATTAATTGTGTTTCTTATTTTTCTTATTTTAAACTGCAGCTACTTATTTTATTCACCTGTCCAGAAAAGCATCACCCCAGCATGATGCTGCTACTACCATGTTTCACCGTGCAGATGATGCGTTCAGGGTGTTTTGTAATGGGGGTTTCCTCCATGCTATGTTTTTTGTTTTTTACCTGCTTTCACATTTTGATAGTTTCCAAGTGGCTTTAAGTAAGATTAAAGATGAAGTAAAACCGTTTTGGTATTGGATAGGGAAGCTGGGTTGTGTGTGATAAAATCTAAATGCAAAACACACGAGTTCCTTTTAAAATCAGGATTATTTATTAAATTATCCTAAGATTAAGGAAAAATAACACGTAAATCATCAAATAAAGCACAGTTTTGCTAATTGTATCAATGCTTTTATGTTACTTTTATAATATTAAAAGGATTTTGAATTGGTTTAATTAAAGTTGGGGCTAATATTGAGAGCAAAGGATATTATGCTGTTTTTAAAATAACTTTTTCATATGTAAAACTTTTAAACTAACAATAAAAATTTTTTTAATAAAATACCTTTTAATTGTTTACGTTTTTTGTCTTTATTTATAAGACATTTGCCTCCTTTACTTTGATTCCGTAGCTCCATGAGAGTCAATCTGCAGATGTGTGGCCATGAAATCAGATCGCTTTCCAAACTAGAGGTCAAAACTAAAGTTGCTCTGTAAATTTTTATTTACAAGCAAATAAAAGGGAAAAAAAAAGACTGCTGTTTTAGAGGTAAATTTAATGTGGGACACAACCGAAGGGAACGGGTCAAAAAGGACACTTTGCTGCTGTTTTTATATAGTCAAGGATAGATAAAACCTGCTGTTTTATAGTCGTCCTTTTTTCTGACCAGGTTTATCTCTTTAATGTAAAAGAAATGGTATTTATTTAATTAGTGTTGGAATTAATAAAAATAAAAAGGTAAAACATAAAGATCCTGAACAGTTATCCCAGTCTGGATTATTTTAATTATATTAAGAATATATGACAAATTCCTATCTCAGTTCAGGGGTTCTTATTACTCAACTGTATGAGTTTGATTTTCATTATTAAAGAATAAAAAAGCACACAATTATTCATGGTTTATCTGTGTGCTTTAGCGCTAAATGTTTAAATCATTTTCAATCAGCCACAGTTGGAACTTTTAAAAAGTCTATCCATGGAAAAACAAACTCCTTTCAGCTCGGTATGCATGCAATGAAATGTAAAACTTTAAGATTAAAGCTTGAGAAATACTGTAAAACAAAAAGAAAACGTGTCACAACAGTGATAACCTTATTTTTAGTTGGTACGAGTGAAACAGAAACACTTTGTGCTTCAATCAAACGGTGTGAATTCATGAACGACTGGAGTCTAAAGTGCTTTGGAGTGAAAAAGGACTCTAGAAGTACGGACCATCAAATTTTAAACACAAAAAATTTTAATCATTTTGAGTTATTTATATATATATATATATATATATATATATATATATATATCTGTGTTTGTATGTGTGTGTTCAGGTTTCAGCTTTTTTCAAAGTTTATTGCTGTTTTCTAACTCAGTCATTCTGTGAATGAAAACCAAACAGTAGTGAAAGATTTTATTCATCTAAAAAGTGTGAACTAAGTAAAACTTTACACATTTCTGTTTAAAGTGCACCTTGATCGAATAATTTTAAGGACTGATATTTGTTTAAACCTCCTGGTTAGTAGCAGATCTCTTTGATCTTATAATAAAATGTAGATTCGTAAAAAAATTATTTGTTTCTCAAATATTAAGTCGATATAAAACAAGACAGAATACATTTTTCAGTTCATTAACATATTTTTTATCATAAAAATTATTTCATAAATAGATTTTTTTTTTTTTATGGCATTATGTTCACTTAATAAGAGAAAGGTTAAGTTGTTTCTATTAGTTTTTTGAACAGCTATACTTAAGTTTCTACTGCGTAATGAGGATAAAATGCAGGCTACTAATAAAAAAAAAAAGCCGAAGGGTGCAATAATCTTATAATAAGAAATAATAAAATTATAATACAATAATAAAATTAGTTCATTTGTTTATTTTCATCGGTGTGTAATTCAAAACATGTTACAGCTAATGCTTAATAGGCACATCTGTCGTTTCTGTTGCTTTATTAAATTATTCATGTTGGGAAATGCAAAATTAACGCGTATAAACAAGTCAAAATAAACTTTACTTTGGTTTTTCAGGTCGTCTGAACTCATCTGAACCGCGTGCCTACAGGGAAACGCATGAAAAACCTTAGGTTAATTGCCAAAAAGATTTTTTTTCCCTAACTCCCTCCCTGCAGACTCCTGACTCAAACATCTACACACACTGATCCGCACGCGCTTCATTTCCATCCCGAGGATCCCACGGCTCAGCAACGCCCCTGCTTCCTTCCGATTGGTCCGCTCCTGTAAACAAACGGCGGCATATTTTTTCTCCCGGCCGCTGATTGGCCGCCGCTGCCGTCACTCTGATTGGCTGCTCCTTAAAAAGCGAGCGGCTCCTGCAGCTCCTGTCACTGATGAGAGGAGGCTGCTGCGCCACCGAGGAGCGAAGGGCGCAACTCCACAGCTCAACCCGCAATTATGATCCTGCTTCTGTCCATCACTTTCAAACAAAGCTTTATGCTTTTTTTATTTTTGATTTGTTTCTAAATTTTATTATTTTTTTATTTTTTTTTGGGGGGGGGGGGGGGGGGGGGGGCATGAGTTTAATTTTGCGTAAACTGCAGAGGTGCCAGAGGGAGTGAGTTTGGGCACTATGCGCCGCTGGGATCCGATTTGCACCAGGAAGGCTTATGGAATATTATAGGCCGGTTTTCCACAGTCTGCATGCATTCTGCTCCAGCACCGTGAAGAAGAAACTTCTCCTGCTCAGCATCATGTTCATAGTCTGGGTTTACATGCTCTACTCCTGCGTGGGCTCCTGCTCCACGGTGCCCGGTCAGGTGATGTTGGACACCCCCTCGGCCAGAGAGAGCGCTCCAGCGGCGGGCAGGAGGTCGGACCTGGTGTCCAGACTGCTGGCCAAGCCGCAGCCCTGGGAGGACGTGGAGAGCGACTACGAGGGGCCGCCCACCAGGACGGCGGCGTTCAGAGACCTGCTGGACGCGGACCGGGGTTTGGATCCAAGCGGCATGTCCAGCTTCTCCAACGGCTCCGGGAGCAAGAAGCTCCCCCAGGCGATCATCATCGGGGTGAAGAAAGGAGGGACCCGGGCTCTGCTGGAGTTTCTGCGGGTTCATCCGGACATCAGGGCGGTGGGAGCGGAGCCGCACTTCTTTGACCGCAACTATGACAACGGCCTGGAGTGGTACAGGTAAGAAAACAATTAATTATCCAATTAAAAAAGGACTTTTTATGCGTGAAGCTTCTAATCTGATGGATGCCGAGCAAAAAAAACGACATAAATGTTAAATTTGGTTCAATAAAGCGCAAATTTGATCTTTTATATTTCACATTTTACTGAACATTGATATAATTAATTGCTCTCATAAATTGAAATCAATTTTAATTAAGCGCAAACTGAACAGACGTGTAACCTGCGATCCTGGTTTATTTCTAAGCATTTTTTTCCATCTGTTAGATTTAATTAATATTTTTAAAGCTTTGTTGCAGATTTAATATTCGCGCATGTAGTTGTATTTTAAAGCGCATTATGACGCCGAGTTTCTCTGAAGCTGCTACGGGGAGCAGAGGCTGGTTCCTCGATGCGCAGTGATCTCTGTTGGACGCGGCGCAAACTGCACCTCCGGCTGCGTCTCTCTCCACTTTTTAATAGTTTAAGATCTCAGCCTGGCGCTGCAGCTCAGCTGAAAGCACCCAGAAACACATCAGAGTTACATTTGAAGGTTTTTTTTGTGTGTGTGTGCAGACTTTAAAGCTCTCAGGTAAGTTTATTTGTGTTGCAACGTGGGCGAATTCAGACTCGCCTCTGCGTAAAGACGCGCCCGATAAACTGAAACTTTGCGATGATGATTGAATTAATTTTGATTAGATCTTTCAAACATTCCAAGCTGTTGGAAATAAAAAAAAAGAAAAAAACACCTCTGGCGCAGATGAAAGCTGAACGTCACTTTTCCTTTTTTTTTTTTTCTTTTTTCTCTCCTTTGCATGAATTATTCATAATCACTTCAATAATAATGTTTTTATAGTTTAAAAAAACAGACTGAATAAACTGCAACTGTTTTAATAAATTAAACTTACAACAGGTTTTCTGGGGAGGAAAAAACGTTTAGTTTGTGTAATTTTTAGAGACATATAAGCATATAAACTTTACATAAACATGAACTGAAGTTTTCTTTTTCTTTTTTATGGTTATTCCATAGAAACAGTGAAGAATTTAGAGAACTATTTAAATAAAAAACCTTTCATGACCTATAAGTTAAAGTAGACATGAACTCTAGATTTGAAGTTTGAAATTATTTAAAGAGAAATGTTCTCAATTTTTAACTTCTGATACTGAAAAAACGAAAATTATTTTAAAAAAGTAAAACATTAATGATCCATAAAAGTAATTCAGAGGCTATTTTAAGTTTAGTTTGCTCCACAAGATGGGGCCTGCAAAAGGGACACTTTTTTTAGTGAAATATAAACTCCCTCCACAGCAAATGGATGAAGGATGCGAAGCATTCAGTAATATTTTTAATTATATTTGATTAAAATGCAGCAGGAATCCTCCTAATCATTTCTGTAGATGACCTTCACTGCAAAAACGATCTTGAAATAAGTAAAAATTTCTTAAATTCCGTGTATTTACCCTTAATTTGAGAAGGTAAATGAGATAGTTTGCCAATGGAATGAGTATTTTTAGTCTTAAAATAAGATAATTAGATAATATGCACTTGAAATAAGACAATGCAATTGTGTTTTCTTATTTTAAGTGTAAATTGTCTTGTTCCATTGGCAAAATGTCTCTTTTACCTCCTCAATTCAAGAACAAATGCACTTATTTTAAGAAAAAATTGACTTATCTAGATTTAGATTTTTTGCAGTGTATAAGTTGGGTAGAAACTACAAAAAGCCACACATGCAGCTAAATTCCTGCCTTCCTGTGATTAATCACAGCCTTCTGCATCGATGAAAGTCTTTCAAAACTCTTATAATTTATAGTTGAAATGAACATTTTAGTTTCTGTTAACTTCTGTTTCTAAATATTCTGCAACAAGTAGATAAAATGTTATTTTATTTACAGGCAACACTACAAATCTCCCTGCATAAATCTGAGCTCTTTCCTGTAATCGCTGCAATCTTTCTAAGTGGATTATGAGTTTGAATTATATTAAATACGATTGGGAAACTTCAGTGGAGCAAACGTATCTTGGAATGAGTTGGTAAAAGTTTTCCCGGCAATGCAAGAGGGGGAAAATAAGCACAAAAACTAAATTATTTTCTTTTTTAGGTGCTTTTTTTTGTCAGTCTAAACCCTGTTAAAAAAAGAGGAGGGGGTTGCAAACAAAGCTAAACATACTTTGTAAAAAAATAAAGCCTCTTAAACCAACTTTATCCTGTTCATTTGCATCACAAAGTGGTCACGTGAGGAGCTGAAGGACTTTCAAGCTTAATTAGTCTGATTGTTGTTCTCAGCAGAGCAGGACATTATTAGCTGTTTGTAGTTTTTATTTGAGTTTATAAATTGATTTTAAAGCCTTGTTAAGTTTAAACTGCAGCTATGATGACATCAGATGTTTCTATATAAGCTGCATTAAAATCCCCTTTTGCACATCCATCAGTTTTCTGATTTTTGCAGAGCAGAAACGACCAGGACCACCATGTGTTAATGAACTGGATGTTCACATATAGAGGGTTAAAAGCGAAATGTGAAAGAATAGGAACCAAATGTTGGAAACGTTTGAAATTGAAACACCGGTCTTTGATTTGTGAGATGTTCGACGCTCCTGCTGTGATACAAACTTGGATTTACAGGCACCGGATTAAAAGTTTGGGGAGTTTGCAGGCAGGCTGTTATTTAACTGCTTCCACACACAGTCGGTGACTGCATGTGGAAAAGCGTCTCTGCAACATTTCAGGCCGTGAAATCTAATACTGATCTAAAACTCTGCCATGTAGGCATGGCTTCGGCCTCTTTATTTCAGTTACTGTAGATTTGTGTTAAAGTTTGCACGTTTTTTTTCTAAAACAAAAAGTAATTTGAGGAGGACTTGAGCTGAACGAGACGTTTACAGTTTAGTGCAAAGATTTAATTAAACTGAATTGGAATTTGTTAAAATCTGTTTTGACTTATTTTATTTTCCCCAAAGCGGACGGACAGAGGAGGGAAATAGGAAGTCATACTTTACTCATCATGAGTGTCCCATTAGGACCTGATACTGGAGATGACTTTGGGAAAAAGAGATGGAAATTTCCATACAGGAAGAAAACACAACTGCGTGGCATTGCAATAAAAACTACAGGAATCTGATTGAATCCTTTATAGGAGATGAGAACAATTTTAAGGGATTGTGCCGTTTACCTCCTGTTTTGTTTGTTCATTTATAACCCCCCCCATGCAGCCGTCCCCTCCCTCCCTTTTTTTGGACTCGCCAGGATTCCACAGAGCGAGAGAGGAGGTGGAGATAACAAGTCTTATTGTGGATTTCTGATGGTCTTTGATGGTTTTTGTTTGTGCCGAAGACAAAAAAACTGTGTGATTCATGGTTTGACCGAGGGGTCCTCATATCAGGAGGTACACATTTTCGCCGTGAGGTCATGCATGAGCCGGCCTAAAGGAAAACACGCACACATTTAGAAAGAGAGAGTCGGAGCTCAAAGGGTCACAGAGACTGAATGCGAACAGAAACATTGATTCATTAGCTTGTGCTTGCACCTGTTTCACCATTATTAAGAGTTGGTTTTATTCTTTTAGCCAAACAAAAAGGATTGGTATGGAAACATTTATTAACACAAACCTTTAAAAAGTTTTGTAGGGTTTAAGAATCCTTTATTTGCTTTCAGTGTTTGTAAAGCATTTCTCTTTGCTGCAGCAGCTTTGTTTTGAAGCGGTCGTATGAAATGGATAAAAAAACCCAAAGGTCTTTAAAATGAAACATGGAAACTAAAAGTTATTATACTTTTAAGCGGTAAATGTTTTTCTGTTTTCACAGTTTGCTGTGATACATTTTAAACTACCACTTTGTAACCTTAACCCTGTAATGCCAAATGTATTATATTTGATACATACGGTTTCTGAAATGTCACCTTTTGCATAATTTAATGGTAAAAACTAGGGTTGCACGATATAATCGGCCCCCTATCGGTATCGGCCTTAAAACTGAATATCGGACATCGGCCACCCCACCGATATTTAACCCGATATTTGATCAGCTTCTGAGTTTCTAAAGTCTAAAAAAAAAAAAAAACTACTTCTTCTTCCTCAAAAACTTCATTTTTACAGATTTAAAACTTCTAAAGACGAGGGAAAAAATATTGATACATTAAAATATCCCAATATCTTCATATGCTGATATATTGCCATTTAAAAACACCATATCAATCTCTGTTACTAATGAAATATTGCTATATGTCATCGTTATGCTACGAAATCCCCCGAAAATTCACGAAATGTTGCCATATTTTTATATGTTGATATATTGACGCGGTATCGATCTATTTTACTAACAAAATCTCACAAGAATTTGCAAAATATCACGAGAGTTTGTAACAGAATGATGAAATTTCACGAGATTTTGAAAGTAAAATAGATCGATACCGCGTTTTTAAAAATCAATTTGATATCAGCATATGAAAATATATTTGAGTATATTATTTTTCAAAGTGTCAGAAATGGATAACAAAACTGCTATTTTCAATGACTACTTATTTTTGTCCAGCTTTAACATCGGTATCGATATCGGTTATCGGCTACATGAGTTTTAAAATATCGGCATATCGGCCAAAATCCCAATATCGTGCATCCCTAATAAAAACTTTGCTCAAACTCCTATTGTACACAATCAGATATACCTGATAACAGAGGGCAGAAGACTACACAAAAAATAATCCTGACTTATCGCATAGTAATAAATTATTAATATCAAAAATGTATTTCTGTTTTTTCTTTTTACGTATTTTGTTAAAAGGCCAAATAAGGACTTCAAACCAAAAAAAAGTAATTTTCCGTTTTGTTTTATTCTTGGATCGGGCTTTAAAGGGTTAAAGTACTACAAGATAATTATAGATAAATTTACAGAAAAATAGATCTGGTTTAAATAAGGCTAAAGTGTCATATTGTAAACTAGAGTTTAAGATGTTTTTAAAATAAATAAAATACTTATCTTTATGTTTTGAGGTTTTTGCTCATTTTGATTTCCTTCCAAATGC